AAAGATTGAAGAAATCGAGTTAGAAATGACTTACAATCGATTTGGAGAAGAACTTTTCTTTTGGAATATCGCCCAAGAGAGTTTATGTTTTAAAAGAGCTTGAAAAATGAAAGATTTTCGGCTAAGTCATGAATTTGCAGGTCGCAGATGTCGCAATTGCGACCAGTGCGAACCCTTCAGAACCTGGTAGTCTCGCATTTGCTATCACTGTTCGCAATTGCGATGGTAGAGTCGCATTTGCGACAATGGGGATTTCTGGGCCTCTTCGCATTTGCGAAGAAATGATCGCATTTGCGATAATGCCTGCCCAGGCCTTCTCTCGCATTTGCAATGGTTTATTCGCATTTGCGATGCAAAGCCTGCAGACCTGTAACATACCAGCAATTTCTAAGTGCAAATTTCACTCTGTGGCCGATCCAAAAACTCACCCGAGCCCTCGGGGCTCAAAACCAAACATGTACACTAACCCAAAAAATCATACAGACTTGCTTATGAAATCAAATCACCAAAATAACATCAACAACTATGAATTTAGCATCAAAATCAAAGAAAATCTTAAGAACTTTCAACGTTTCAAATTCACAACTAAAGTTCCGAATCATGCCATGTGACCTTCGCTTCTTACCGAATTTTATAGACTCGACTCAAATCACATATAAGACCTGTACCAGGCTTTGAAACCAAAATACGGGCCCGATACCATCAAATTCCAAACACATTTCATTTCCAAAAATTCATATACATTCCAGAATATAATTTTCTTTAAAATTTCATTTCTCGGGCTTGGAACCTCGGGATTAGATTCCGGGCATACGTCCAAGTCCCATATTTTCTGACGGACCCTTCGGAAACATCAAATCACAGGTCCGGGTCCATTTATCCAAAATATTGACCGAAGTCAACTTAAATTCATTTTAAAGGCAAAATTTATTATTTTTCACAGATTTTCATATAATGGCTTTCCGGATATGCACTCGAATTGCGCACGCAAATCGAGGTAAGATAGAAAGAGGTTTTAAGGCCTCAGAACATAGAATTTATTTTTTTATTATTTTTTTTAAAACAAATGATGACCCAAGGTCATCACAGGAAGGTGACTCCGAGGCCTGCGAACATGGAGCAAGTATACCTTGAAGTCTCCCAAACAGCAGCTACAATAATCCTCTAACGACCGGCACGAGCAGACATACCTAGATCTTTACAAAAAAATATACAAAAGCATAATACGAGTACACCACAATGGTACCCAGTAAGTATCGAGCCTAACCTCAGTAGAGTAGTGATGAGGCCAGAACAAGACACCCACTAGGATATAAAATAGATAATATGAAATTGCAATACGTATATGTAATGGAAAGTGAAAAAACGACTAATATGGAAAGATAATTTCAAGAACTAGCACCAAAAATCAATAATAGATGTAATATGAAAGGAGCAACTAAAGTGCCACAATGATCATGTACGGGCAAAAATTACTAGAACAAATAAGGAATGACACAACAAGGTATACTTTCCACTAAAAATACCTTGCAACATGAAACGAATAACAAAAATCACAACGAGGTAACCCCTTGTGTATAATGAAATCAAAATCGAGGTACTGCCTCGTACAATCAAGAATCACAACCGAGATACCGCCTCGTATTCACTTTTCTTAATTTCATCACAATCATTCATTATACCGCCGCGTGAGCCTTACATTTAAAAATAGGTTTCGAAAAGAGTTTTCCCAAAATAGCTACACGCACTTTAGTCCACCTCATGATGCCGCATGGCTTCACGTAATTCCCCTACAAGAAACACACACATAAGTTCCACCTTATACCACCGCATACAAATCAACACAAGCCTTATACCGCCGCATGCGCGTCAATACCATATCACAATAATAATTCACAACACAAGTGCCCATATATCACAACTTACTAACAACAACAATATCTAGATTTTCACAACAATAGCCCATGGCTCCACCACAATGTATGCAAGAATATCAAAAACAACAATGGATGAAAATGCTCAATAAGATAGATATTTCAATAATATCCAACATCACCTCAACGTATTAACGAGTTTCACAACTTTAATACCAAATAACTCAACAATGAGAAAATAATGTATAACCACGATATTAGATAGGGCTAACTCATAATAAAGGAAATAATATTCAACAATGAGTCTCAAATAATGAAAATCAACAAGTAAAGGGATAACACGAACAATTAATTCAAACAATGAAAATTACAATGAAGAGATATCATGTAACAATAAAGGAGACAACAAGTTTAGTTAAAGCATGGGAGCAATTTAGCAAGCAGGATGTAGAATAAATACTAAACAAGTCAACTAAGGCATTTAAGAATAGTCTAACACAATTAAGGATAATTTGACTATGAGAATTTAGAACATAATATTGCATTTCAATTAAAGCATAAAAATAGTCTAAGTAGCCTAAACCGGTCAAATACTACGTAAAATCCGTGTACCCACTCGTCACCTTGCATACATGGATTTCACTTAACACAATTGAATCAAACAATGCTAGAGAATTCAATTGCAATAGATAAAGTTAAGATCTTTTACACTTTGTCCAAAAGTCAACTCGGAGCCCGCCCGATCAAAACCCCGGGTTCAATGGTAGATTCTGTCTACCTATGACTCCACGAGTTCATATATGTGATTAGTTTCAAAATTCGAGTCCAAATCGACTCTCAATACTCAATTCTTATTTTTCAAAAACTTGAGAATTTCATAAAATTCTACTTTGATTCACATAATTTTGATGTTAAAATCTAAGATATGTTGATATAATATGATTAGAAAGAGATTAGAATCACATACCCAAGGTTTACATGTGAAAATCCTCTCTCTAAATCACCTCCTACCGAGTCTAGGGTTCATAAATGAGAGAATGAACTCAAAAATCTCGTCCTTCAGCTATTTGTCCAATCACAGATGTCGCAAATGCGACCTGCGATTCGCAATTGCTAGCCTGCAAATGCGAAGAATCCATCGCAAAAGCGAAGACCCTTCCATCTCTGTTGTTATCGCAAATTGCAATGAATAGTTCGCAATTGTGAACCGTGAACTTCCGCAAATGCGACCAGGTCGATCACAAATGCGAACTAGCTCTTCCCCAGGTAAGGCAACTAGAATATATCTATCCTAATCGCAAATCTATTCTCCGATGCCTGGATTCAAGAACTTACTCTATCCAATGTTATATGCAATCTATAGTTCCCACTTTCGAGTTCAACTATAAATTCATAGATAATACTTTATTGTTAGTTACGCAATAGAATAATTAAGTGCAAGATTGAATAGACAAATCAATATGACAAAATCAAGCAAAACAATCAACCGTCAAGTTAGAATTGTCAAGAACGACCCATAATCCTAGAATAATGAGGTTTTTAGCCACTCATGTTCATAACAATTATAATATCGTTTTTAAACATAAAAGCTATGAATACTAGATGAAGGACGGAAGAATCAATGAATTTCGTGCTCCCGAGTATTTCGTACTTGTGTTTCTCTCTCAAAGTGACGTCTCCCTCTCTAAAATAAGTTTAGGTTTGCTTTTATACGGGTTGGGGGCGTCCTGTGGTCGAAATAACCAAGTCCCGGACAAAATAGGATAAGTTCCCGGACAAAATAGGATAAGTTCCCGGCACCTAGGGTAGTGTAGGGTGCTAGCCTTGGCGCTGGGAATTTTTGAAGGCCTGGTTTCTGCGCCACAAGTAGCGCCCATGCTAGCCTGGGTGGGTGCTACTTTGTGGCTTTTTTTCATTTCGTCCACTTTTTGCTTCAAATCACGCACCTTCGTCCCAAATTGCCTCCCGATATTTCCTACACATAGGAATACCATGAATTAGCACAAATCATTACATTACACATCCGAAATCATCGAAACATGAGTAAAATGCGAGGCGACATGCATATAAAATATATATACTTTAAGCCGAATATAAAAAAAAAGTGCTTCTAATTGGAGCAACAAATACTTTTTAGATGTGAGGAAGAATCTGAAAAAGTATTTTCTCCTTAGAATCAAAAGTAAAAGTTTTTTTTTTTATTTAATGTTTCCTGGACAAAAATAACTTTATTAGAATATTATATTTACCAAATTATAACACATCTATGACTGAATTCCCATAATAAAACATATCTTCCTCTCTCCATTTTTGTGAATAAACATAATTAAACCCTCATTATAAATATTTTAAATAATTTATCTCTCTAAATAATATTAATTGTAAAGTTATTTCTTACGTGTCTTTTTGCATAATTCGACACTCAAAAATACTTTTAAAAAGATATTAGCAACGACAATGCTTCTATAATACTACTTAAAAAGAATCTATTAAATGATTTTTGTCAAATACACATTAATTAAACTGATGCTACCCTAAAGTATTTTTTCCAATTTTCATTTAGTAAAAGTGCTTTTTAAAATGTGTAAATTTTAGAAGTTTGGCTAAATATACCCTAAATCATCCTTTTTAATTAAACTTTTTTCACTAGTTAAGTATTTTATTTGGTTATTACCTGATAAAAGAACAAGAAAAATGGGGTTCACTCTCCTTCTCCAACTTTCTTCCTTTTTATAATTAAAAGAATATTGGATAGTCTATTATTTCCTTTCACTTCTTTTCCGTAAGTTTACAAAAACAAAGGTTTTATAAGAGTCATGAGCAAAGCCCCATATAGGAAATTATACCATAATGGAACTGGGGCGATCAGTAAAACCTAGTCCAAACCAATCTAGGAATACATGCATACAGCTGATTACAAAAGAATCATCTAAAGTAAAATCATCACATTCCCAACTGAACTAGGATATTGATGGCCATCTATTTATAGTTTCATTGCAGCTCGAAAGTTATTAGGTTATTCCTGTTTACGTTGTTTTGTACTGCCCGTCTTCTCCAAATATTAACTCAAAGAACGTCGTTCCCTACTTTGTTAACCCTGTTCTTTAGTTATTGATCAAAGAAAACATGAGTAATCTGACACATCCTTCATCTCCATATTATCATAGCAATTATGGACGTCCGCGACAAGTCAATGATCACTCTTCTAGACGACATCATAGACCAGTTCATCATAATCCACGGACAAATTATCCGCCGTCTCGGCCTGTCTCAAGAAACGTAGAGCAATTTTCTATTCCTAGGGCTGATGATGAATCCATGACTCGGCAAAACCTGCATCAAAACCCAGCTTTTCCACATAGGAACGGAATTAACGTAACTAACTTGAGGGAACGTTCTTTAGTGGATATGGTCTCACAGCCAGCTGCCATAGATAACCTGCATGGCCACTCCCAAGATAGGAGCTATCCGCCGAATAATTATAGTTCTCAGTCAGCAAGTGATCCCTCTTGGTTCATCAGAACGTTTGCTAGTCCTGTCAACTCCTTCCGTAGTGATCATCTGAGTACTGGCTTTGATTTTGACTGTCTGTATGATCTACTTGATCTTGATCATCATCTGAGCACCGGCTCTGAATTTGACTCTGTGTATGATCTAATTGATCCTAAGGAGAGTGTTATATTGAAGTATTTGAAAACAAGATTACATCGTGCTCCTGTGCCCAAAGATGAAGTTAACCCCACGAAAACTGAAGTTGTTAGTGATGAAGAACCAGAAATTTGTGCTATATGCCAAGCTGAATATGAAGAAGAAGAGACCATGGGAACACTTCAGTGTGGACATGAGTATCATATGGACTGCATCAAACAATGGATACTGAGGAAACAAGACTGTCCTATGTGCAGAGCTTCAATTTTTCCTTCACAACATTAACATTTATATTATAGAGGTTAATTTGTCACAACTTGACATCATGATTGTCATTTAATAGCATGTAGATATTAGTTAATAATATATGAAGTTTTCTTTTTCTTTTGCAAAACCACTTAAATGGGTATTTGGTTGTGTAATATTTTACAGTTCATGTCGTTAGACTTGGTTAGACAAGTTGTTTTAAGTTGTGCATGGCATACACTATCTAAAGCCCTCTGCAAGAAAGCTCCCCCGCCTAGCTCCTTTATTTTTGGTTGTTGCTAGTTATAAGGATGTTATATTGAAATTTAAAGAGTTATTACAAAGAGGAATTGTTCTCACTGTAGTAGTTCCACGCCTAACTTTTTATTCAAAATATACATGCATTTGGAAATTAAAAACTCTTAATAAGATGAAGTTCTTTCTCGGGCTTGCTAGCCATAACATACTACCAACCAAATAATTGATTCGCCAGATTTGCAATAATGTTGAAACCATTGATCATCACTTGTTCATTCGCTGCTACAAAAGCGTCCTCCTTAATTCTGAAATAGCTTAAGACATCAACCAAATCCTTACAACAATCCTCTCTTTACCAACGGAAAAAAAATGAATGTAAAAGGGACCTAAGCACAAATGATTTTGTTAATTTGGACACACTCTTTTCTTTCAGCCTTAGGAACAACAAAATCTTTCGCAAAAGCAGTAATGAGTCAACAGCACAATCAATCATTGCTAGATCTAATGAATTCGAGCCATGACAAATCACAAATGAAGTCTATCCGATGGGCCCTACTAGGTAAGTACTGATCTGGTGCCTTAGAGGAAATTTAAGAGCTAAAAAAGTAGTTTCTCCTTTTTCAAGTAAAAGCAAAAGCTGCTTTAATTTTTTTCACGCCAAAAGTACTATTACCAAAATGTTATATTTACCAAACTTCCCAATAGGAATGATAAAAACAAATCTCACGCATTTTAGGCAACACATGTATGACTAGAGTCTCATCATTAAACATACTCCCTCTCTCTATTTTATGATTTCTGATTTTATTTTAAATTTTAATTAACTGAAATTTAAAAATTAATCAAACTTTTTCATACTAAATATTTCAAATATTTATCCATTAGATAATAGTATTAATTATAAATTAAAACTTTTTATGTCTTTTTCATAATTTTGACACTCAAAAATACTTTCGCAGAGATTAGTCAAATGCAAATTATTTCTACAATACTACAAAAGCATTCCTCAAGTGATTTTTGTTAAACACAAAAAGTGCTGATATGGCCATGACCATGGATTGGAAGGTATGGAGGTTGAGAATTATGGTAGAGGGTTAGGTAGTCGAGCTTTGTCTTTATTTTGTTACAGCAGCTTTAGAACACCACTTAGTATATATCTTTCGTGTATTTTCGTCTTTCTAGACTTATGTTATTACTTGTTGTGTCTTCTCTTTCGTTTTTTAATTGCACTATCTAGTGTTAGTTTAGTATTTTTGCTTGGTTTTCTGATTGGTTTGCTTGCTATTACCCATTCCCTTTTAGCTTTCGTGAGCCGAGGGTTTATCAGAAACAACCTATCTACCTTTTACAAGTAGGAGTAAGATCTGCGTATACAGTATCCTTCCAACCTCAATTGTGGGAATACTGTCACGACTCGAAATTCCCACCGTCGGGACCGTGATGTCGCCTAACATTTCAGTTGCTAGGCAAGCCACTATTAGAATAATTTACTTCTTTTAACAGTTTAAGTGATAGCATTAATAACGAACTGAAATAACTGGTATATTCTAAGTATAAATGCGGAAGTTAAACAACCAAACGTCTATTACAATTCCTTGAATCTGGTGTCATAAGTGCACGAGCTTCTAAAGTAATACACATAAGAGTCTGAAATAAGTACAAGCTGTTTGAATGAAGTTATACAGCTAAAAAAATAAAAGAGGATAGGGACTCCAGGAGCTGCGGTTGCTGAACAGTCGTTCCTCAAGTCTCAAACAATGTCCAATCCTAGCACGCTAATATCTACCGCTGGGACCGACTCCAAAATCTGCACAGTGTGTAGTATCAGTACAACTGGCCCCATGTACTGGTAAGTGTCGAGCCTAACCTCGACGAAGTAGTGACGAGGCTAAGGTGGGTCACTTACACTAAAACCTGTACGCAGTATATAATAATGACAGAATAATTGAAATGTAGTACAAAATTAAGCAGCCAACAGGAAATGATAACCCCAGCCTCGAAATAAACCTGTATCGTCTAGAATTACCAATTTTACCAGGTCAAACAAAATATCGGAAAAACAACGCAGCTCAAGAAATAGAAACATATAGGTTGTTGTGGCGCGCAACCCGATCCCACCAGACAACACATAATCCTCCCTTATTCCACCATAAGAATATCAATAATAATAAATAATATATATGTTGCGGCGCGCAACCTGATCCCACTATATATCAATATCAATGTCGTAATTTCACCCTTATTTCACCATATAAATCCACCCTTATTATACATGTTGCGGCGTGCAATCCGATCCCACCGTATATATATATTTACCCTTATTCCACCATATTAATTCTACCTTATTACACTTGCTGCGACGTGCAACCCGATCCCACCATATCAGAATCAAACACTCAATGTACACAGTTAAATCAATAGGCTTACTCACAAGGCCTTTACAATAAATAATTACCAAACTGAACCAAGAAAAGGGAAATCTCGTTCAATATAGAATCTACACAAATAATACTATACAACGAGACCAATCCAGAAAATATGCCTTGAAAGTACAAATAAATAACTTAAGCAAATAAAAGGAGGCGACGAAACTACGAAATAACCAATATTTTCAGCAAAAAGAAACAAGGTCTATCAAGTAGCAATTAAGCATAGAAATACAAGTAAAGCATGTAGCAGTTAAGGCATGAAAAAATAATATAAGAAAAATGGGAATGAAATAGGCAAAAGAGATAAATTGGCATAGATACTCGTCACCTCACCTATACGCCGCTCACATGTATTTCACATAGCAAATAAGTCAAGAATTCATAATCCCTCGATTTAAAGTTCGACACGACACCTACCTCGCTCCGCGGGCCATTCAATGCTCAATTATCGTTTTTCCTCTAGTATCCATCTCCGAACCACTCGTATAAATATTTTGGGGAAGAAAATCTTGTGGAAGAATCGCCTCTAGGTCTATTAGTTTTGAAAAATTTGAAAGAATTGCCAAATTCCCATTTTCTGGTATGTTTTAAGTCACCGTTGTCAGGCCTTCTTCGAGTTCACGAAGGGCCAGCCGCGATCGCGAAACAACGGCTCTATTAGCCTATGCATTCGCGAGATACCCTTCACATTTGCGAAGTCTTATACCCACTAGCTTATGCGTTCGCGAGTCATGTGCTGCGTTCGCGAAGAGTATAGGTTACTTCCCCTCCCCCAGGTCCTATGCCTACGCGTTCGCGAGAGGCTAGTCACGTTCGTGAAAGGCTGGTCGCGTTCGCGAAGGGTAATGCCCCCAATGCTTCGCGTTTGCGATCAAGCCTTCGCGTTCGCGAAGAAGAAAGTCACCCTGCCGCCATTTTACCTTTCGTGTTCGCGAGAGTACCTCCACGAACGCGATGAAAGACACACCAAATATTAGCTGAAGCAAAAAATCAGATTTTTCTAAGTTCTAAACATCCCGTATCCTATCCAAAACTCACCCGAGCGCTCGGGGCTCCAAACCAAATATGCACACAAGTCCTAAAACATCATACCAACTTGCTCACGCGATCAAATCGCCAAAATAACACCTAGAACTACGAATTTAGCACCAAATCGAATGGAATTTTCAAGAAAGCTTTAAAATCTCTATTTTCACAACCGGACGTCCGAATCACGTCAAACCAACTCTGTTTCTCATCAAATTTCACAGACAATTCTTAAATATCATAATGAACCTGTACCGGGCTTTGGAACTAAAATACGGACCCGATACCAACAAGATCAAACATTAACCAAAATTTTAAAACCATTAGATTTTTTCAGTCTTTCAATTTTTAATAAAAATTCATATCTCGAGCTAGGGACCTCGGAACTCGATTTCGGGCATACACCCAGGTCCCATATTTCATTACGGACCCATTCGGACCATCAAAATATCCGGATCCGTTTATTCAAAACGTCGACCGAAGTCAACTAAAATAAAATTTTAAGGCAAAAATTATTATTTTCATCAACTTTTAACATAAAAGCTTTCCGGAAATACACCCGGACTGTGCATGCAAATCGAGGAGGAATAAAATAAAGTTTTAAAGGCTTCAGAATACCGGGATATCACAAATACACTCATTTGTTATTATTGTTGTTGTACAAAAAGTGCTGATACTTTTTATGGAACTCCATTTGATAATTAGTACTTCTAAAAAAAGTTAATTTTGGAAGTTTGACCATATTAGTCAAATAACTTAATTTTTTTGTTGTTTGTCGAAAAGAAAGGTCTTAAATTGGCATATTTTGTTAAACTTGTTCACTAATTATTATTTTCTTTGGTTATCACGTGATATATGAACCTCATATTTCTATAATGAAAACTCAAAATTTTCTGCCAATTTAATAATAAAACTTATTTAAATAATTAGAAGTAACTTTAAACAAATAAACCTATTTTTTATGTTTCCTCTGCTACCAAAAGGAGAGACAATCTAATTTAAAATTACTTCCAAATATTCCCCCTCCTTCCCCAACTTTCTTCCTTTTTTGTCAAACTAAACGAGGATATCGTATACCGTATTAAGTAATCCATGTACTTGCTTTCCCTAAATTTCCAAATACAAAAGGTTTATAAGATTCTTAAGCAACACCTATTTAGGAAATTATAAAAATAACGGTCATCTCAATAAAAACTATTCAATACCGAATTGGGAATAAAATTGATTTTACATGCAAAAGAATCATTAAAGTAATTAATTTTCCTATATAGGACAAGCCATCTCTATTTAATAGATCATTGTCACTCGATCTTTATCGTAATTTAAGAACACAAAACCCAACTTCTTTTGTTTGTTCAGTAGTTATAGATTAAAGAAATCATGAGTAACTCGCATACTCATCGCTCTTCCCAACTAGGCCAAAATCAGGCACATAATTCTTCTACAAATTATAATGGCAATGATCAACGTACGCAACAAGTCTATCGGCGAAATGTTCGAATTATTAGGGGCGGCCCCTATGATCAACCAACAGCGTCTACTGGTGTTCATACGAATGGAATTAACATAACTAACTTGAGCAATCGTGATTCAGTGGATATGGTCTTAAGGCCAGATGTAGTAGACAATTCGCGTGACCGATTTTTGCAAAGTAGTTATCATCCTGGCTTTGAATTTGACTCTCTGAACGATGTTCCACTTGATCTTTGAGGGTGTCATTGTTGGTCATGAGGACAAACAGGAGGATGTTATATTTAGGTATTTGAAAACAAGAACCTATCATGCTCTTGCGCCTAAGGATGGAGTTATCGCTGAAACTGGAGTAATCGCTGATAAAGAAACAGAGATTTGTGCCATATGTCATGTTGAGTATGAACATGAAGTGACCATAGGGACACTTCATTGTGGACATGAATATCGTAGAGATTGCATCAAAGAATGGTTGTTGAGGAAGCACGATTGTCCAATGTGCAGAGCTTTACTATTGCCCTTCACAACACCATAGATTATAGGGAGGCATTTACTTGACAATCATGTCATTCAATAGCATTTAGCGATTATTTTATGTTGAAATTCCTTTGTCAATCTGAAAGTCTATTTTTCTTTTGCAAGATCAATTGCAAGACCAAGGAAGGTAGAGGTAGGTCGAAGAAGTATTGGGGTGAAGTGATTAGGCAGGACATGATATATTTTCAGCTTGTCAAGGACATGATACTTGATAAGAGGGAGTAGAGGTCGAGAATTATGGTAGTAGGTTAGGGAGTAGTCGAGCGTAATCCTTTTTTCATATATGTATTACTTTTTATACTTGTAGAACTAGGGTATTCTTGTATTTCCTATTCTTAGATTTCTAACACTACCTATCATTTCTTTTGCTTCGGTTATCTTGTTTTTCTGATTGTGGTTACTACTTCTCTTTATATGGATTCTTCTCTTCACATGCTTTTTCTGAGTCGATGGTCTATATGAAAAAGCGAGAAATTTTACTATGTGAATCACATAACTAACATTACTTGTGTGAGTTTAGTTTAATTTTTGACAAGTAAACTCATGTTCCTACTTACTTATTTTAAAACATAATTAAGCTAACAAACTCAACATTTGAGTTTACTCTTTTTCCTAATTAGACGCTTAGCTGATGGACAAAAAAGGAAAATGAAACAGGAAAAAATCTTTTTTTCTTATATTATTAGGTATATTCTTTCATATAAAAAAACCTTTTAATTGAAAATTTTGCATTTTAAGATCTAAGTGAAAATTAAAGGCACGAGAAATCTCTACATTTATAATATTTAACGCACCATATCTTGAGCTATTCAACCAAAGAAAATTTTGATAAAATTTTAATAGGATAGGTGAAAGAAAATAGAAAGTAAAAAATGTAAACCGGTAACTTTCAATTAAAAAGTACTTGTTAGCAAATCAAAGTTTTAACAATAAAACTTGTAATTTCACCAAAAAAAACTTAGTCAAACTTATATCTTAAAAATCTTAACGAGTCATTTCGCCGACTTCTATTTTATCTTCTAAGTTTACAGTATCAATTTTGCAAATTAGAGTAGTCGTAAACTAGCTAATAATATGAAATAAAGACAATCTGGCTATGCAACACAAAGTATAGCAGCAGCAAGAAAGTATACTAATGTAAACAAGCTATGGTAAGCTATACTGCTGCAGACACATTCAACATATCCCAGAATAATACTGCTACATAGAATTTACATAGTTGCAATACCATACACAAATTATAAATCAAGGACAGGTAATATAAAATGATCAACAAAGGTGGTAATATAGTTATAAAATTGGATATGGCAAAGGCTTATGACGGACTGTCATGGTCTTTTCTTACTTCTGAACCAAGAAGATTTGGGTTCAATGAAATGTAGATAGATATGGTATGGCGGTTGGTCTCAGATGTATGGTACTCAATAATTATAAATGGAACTAGAAAGGGATTACATCTTCACAAGGACTCAAGCAATGCGACCCTCTATCTCATTCATTATTTGTATTGGTTGCTGAGGTTCTTTCTAGAATGCTCAATAACCTTCAATATGAATGTGACTTTACTCCTTTCTCTATGAGTTCTAGGGGCCCTCAGGTGAGTCATCTGACATATGTGTTGTGAATAAACCCCTTACCAAAATAATATTCACGGTAATAAAGCGGAATAATAATGTAGC